ATTGTGGAATATTAATAAGACCGTTTGTTAATTTAGGGCATTTTTAAACGTCTGTTCAAGATATCGAAGTTATTTTAAACTTTAAAAACGTCAAACAACTTTGAAACAATTCGGAATCGAAACAATACAACATTTTTGTTTTAAAACTTCGTTGAAAATGATTAAAACTCTGGGAATATAAAGGAATAAAACACATTATTATGGCATAGTTTATTTACATAAATAACCCGAGGCGTATCGCCATATACACAAATTCATACACTTTTTACATACATATCGTATCTGCGTTAATAGAGTGACGTCATCAACACAGTGCCAACAGACATATCGAATATATAACATAATTTGTATTAACATTTGGAGACTAGCTGGCGAAGTACATCTGAAGATTTAGACAAACAAGATAAATTCAATATACTAGATTCATAATTAACATTAAACTAAAATAAATCGATACAGTCATTTAAAATTCTTTTATACAAAGAAACTAATAATTACATAAACTAGTACGCATGTTCCAAGCTTCTGCCTACCCCATATGACTTACTATTTATTGCATAAAGGATTAATTTAAACGAAATAAGTAGAGGCGCTCGTATTTTCTATGAGCTTTATTTAGAAAATATTATATCTTTTACATTATTTAAATAATTCAATTCATACAAGAGATGTTAGTTATATTTTGTATTCGAATTTTTTTATTCAACAACATAATGTGCTTTTTGTGTATGAAGTTAGCCGCTAATGTTGACGTAAGCGTTCTTCATGTTCTCTCTTTCGCACTTGAATACATCACATACATCTGTCCCTCTCACTCCACAAACGCGATATTCGTAGATAATTTTAACAAATCAAGGCAGTATAATAAAACAATCTAATTGCCTTAACCAATTCAAACTTTAAAATTTACATAAATAATATAGAAATATTTCAACTAAATTTTATTCCGTATAATATCACAATACAAGCTATTTACATCTCAGACGGTGTAATACATAACAATTATTTAACAGCATTTTGTAAATGTTTTCCCTCAAGTGTGATGCCAAGTTACTAAATATCAAATAAAAGAGATTTACAAGTGACAGTTTAAGCAAGAAACGCTAGCACCTCTATTTACTTAACTTTCAGTGTTGCAATAAACTTGGTAAAATAGCTGCGAATGTTGCTACATTTTTTAGTGAGTGAAAATATTTTAGTCATTCAGAGTTAAATATTGTTTAAATTTAAATTTCAGTTCAATTTCAAAAGCTAACACTCTGTTTCAGGAAATGCTTTGCATTTTAGACAGATAGACGCACAGCGCGGGCGCTACCGCTGCTGCT